AAATGGAGTGGCATCAAGTTTTATCAGTTTTAGGAGTTATATTTTGTCATTTTTCAACAATGGACTCAGCATGAGCAGAAGATGAGGCAGAAGACCATGGAGAATGTTGTTTTTCACACAAGGCAGCTGACGGCTCCATATAAGAGAAATGTGTGTGTGTTTGTCCTGCGCTGTACTCCACGTCCTGCTTGTGGAGCGGGGCCCGGTCTGTTTACATTCACACTGTACTCGAACCGCGCTGGAGTTTTCTTCTAACGGACTGAGACCTAGGTTTTAGCCCAGGCCAGAGTTCACCTTTTTGTTCCGTGACAGAGTTCGATGGCGCGTTCACACCTCCCTAAACAAACCAGACTTTCTAGGAAAATGAGCTAGAATTCGATTCAAGCGGACTAAACAGGGCTGGTGTGAATGCACCTTAAAGCTGAGCTACGAGCACATTTAGAGTGCACGAGCCCCAGCGTTCAGCAGTCTGTCCACGTTCACAGAGAAGGCTGTTCAACAGAGCAGGCCGGGTCCAGACACAAGGCTCACAGACACACCAGTGACAGGTCCCAGCTCAGCTTGTAAAACCAGTACAGGACCTGGCCTGTAAAGGTCCACTATGATGTTTTGGTCTGTGTGGGGGGAGCAGGACGAGGCTGGGGGTCTGAGCTCACTGCTCCCCACACAGTTCGATCACGTGATCTACAGTAATCTGTACATTTGTGTTACACTGTCATGTCTTAATGATGACTCTGTTTCAAACAAACATGCTTCAATCCAACTGCTGCTTTTACTAACATCAACCTGCTGTTAGAAAACTGTGCACGGCTTAACAAACACAGAAAAGACACAAAAGTTGAATAAAACTTCAGTCATTGGGCTCCAAACACGACATCAGCCTTCAAATCAAACTGTGACGGTTTGAAACGTGTCAACACCTCCGTCATATCCAAAGTAAACGTGTGAAAAGAGAGGGCTGTGCACGAGAAGCTCGTGAGTCACAACGTGTCCACGTAGATTCAGAGGCTGGTTTAACACATCTACAGAAAACCGTTCCCATGTTTTATCATTTCTATTTCTTATTTTCCCTCACAGTTGAGTTTGTTTTCTTGTTGGTAAACATCCAGATGTTTATTCAGCGTTAGGAAACTCTCCACGCTGTCGCTCATCGTTTCGTACCGAGCTGCTCTGCTTCACGTCAAAGTGTTTCTGAATTGGATCCAAACGGTCTCGTCAGTTTTCTGAAGGTGTTCTGGACTGATCCAGCTCAGAACCACCGCTCGCCTCACTCTTCATCGTTTCACAACAAACATCTGGAATTCATTTAACAACAGCTTCACCGTGATTATCTTTTTTATTTTAGTTATGTAATAAATAACTATTTGTATCATATGTTATATTTAAAAAGGTTCAATTAACTGTTTTTATTTTTTGTAAATTATAAATGGCGTAACTGAAGATAATAATCAGTCAAAGGTTTACTGAGCTGCTTATTTAATCTAGATGAACAATTCTACATGTCAACAGATTTTTGTATTTTCTAATTATATTAAAGTATTAGGAGGATAAATCACGTTTGTTTGTTAATTTCCTTATTTAATCATTCTCAATATTTAATTAATAGGTTGTAAATGAACTTATCAGCATTAACTACATACCTATAAATAACAAGTACAGTATTTAAATAGTGTAGTATTTTATTTGGTATTTTTTAAACATTATGTGATTTTTATCATTATATTTTGTAAAAATAATCTTGTGTGTTGCTGATGAGATACATAATGTTATTTAAAAGAGTAAACTAATGCTACACTGCTGATTTGACTCTTTGTTCAACTTGTTGTCAGTGAGAGAGCTCAGCAGGTTGCTGCTGCTTGTCCAACAAGATGACAGAATTACTTTTGGACGAGTAACAAACAGATCGATGCTTCCTCAACTTTTCAGCTTTCAACCCACAAAACACCAGCAGAGACACGTGACAATGACAACTTATATTTCAAACTTTGCTGTTAGATCAGTTACACACCGATGACATCATCGCAGACCTTCATTAACAACTACTTTAACCACATTCTCTCAGAACAATCACGCCAATACCGCAACATTGGAAACCAGTACTTCAGAGTTTATGGGCAAATAAAACGTCAGACGACAGACAAACAGCAGCTTCACTAAAGTTTTTACTTCTTGCTCTAATTAAGATGTGCACATGCATGTTGGGGAGTTTTTGCACTTGACTTTGCCGTGCCTTTACATCACAAAAGAAGGGAACGTTGTTTTATTCAAGCAGCCATTAGCTCACTTAGTTCAAACATTTGAAAAGCCACGTGTGAAGATGAAACGTGTCTACACCAGTGTGAGAATACGTCCTGCATCATGTAGTACAAATACATAAATACGTCCTGCAGCATGTAGTACAAATACATAAATACATCCTGCATCATGTAGTACAAAAACATAAATACGTCCTGCATCATGTAGTACAAATACATAAATACGTCCTGCATCATGTAGTACAAATACATGAATATTTCCTGCATCATGTAGTACAAATACATAAATATGTCCTGCATCATGTAGAACAAATATATAAAGGACTGCTTTTTCACATGGCAGCAAATACGAGGGGGGTTCTGTTTATTGCATTTATGACTCAATGCAATAAAAGAAACAAAATTAAAAGGTCATCATTTAAAACTTTACTTTGTTTATATAATGATTTGAATCGCTGGATGTCTGGCCCCCAAGCTGTTGGCTTTCAGAAACTGTGGCCCCCTGAGCAGTTTTGTTGAATATCTCTGGCATGTACCAAACAATTGTTGGGTATTTGTAGATGTTTAAAATGGTGTAAAAGTATTCTTTCAAACAGATGCACCTTTGTGGATACAACAATGACTATAATTCAGTCAATGTTACAGAGGATGAAGTGAAATTTTGTGTGGCAGTAGCTGAGATTCCATCGACTCTTCATGAGATCTTACAATTTTGCATGATATTACATTTATTTTAAAGATGGGATCAAAACTGCTGTAAATCACTTTAAAACATAGAAGGATGATCTTTTTTTAAAACTTTTGCATTGAAGGTGGTGGATGATGTACATTCCTTCAAGGATTGTTAGACTTTTATTTGTCACAATCCGTATTTTCCTTTTTATTTTAGAAGTTTTTATGTCCTGTTTGTGTATATATATATATATATATATATATATATATATATATATATATATATACTGTACATGAAGGTGTTTTAAACCTTTCTCACACTCTTGCAATAGTCTAAACAATGTTTCTTTTTTTAACTTCTTCTTCTTTCGGCTGCTCCCTGCGTTAGAGGGAGCCACAGCAAACTAAGTCACACGAAGACTTGACAATTGTTTTTACGCTGGATGTCCTTCCTGATGCAACCACAGACCACCGAGCTACCACAGCCCTCTGTGTGGAGCAGAGAGCAGCTATCTAGGACACCCGGAGGAGCAGATGGTGGGGGTTAAGGGCCTTGCTCAAGGGCCCAGAGTGGGACGAATGAGGGTGGGGGCAGGTGTGGGTGCTTCACCTACCCCACCTACAATTTTTATGTTGTCGGTACGGGGGCTTGAACCGTCGATCTTCTGATCATAAGCGCACCTTCTCTAACCTCTGCCCCACCACTCCCCTGATTCTAAACAATGTTTCTAACGCTCTTAAAGAGAAAAGCACGTCATGAACTCAGCTCTTGGCCACGCCCACTTCTCCTCAGCAGAATGGATATCACAGAGGAGGGAGGAGGAGGTGCAGGATGACATTTCTCCTGCAGTATGAGCTGCACGAATGTCCAGGAGGTGCTAAATAATTTTAAATAATTAATTTTAAATAAAAAATGTCATGCTGATCGTGCGGCTCATCCATCAATCAATTGTGTGTCATATCCAGTCTTATTTTGAAAAACCGCGATAGAGCGAGTCTGCGAAAAACGAACCGTGAAGTAGTGAGAGACTATACTATTACTTTCTTAGTATAATGCCTTTGAATAAGTACTTGTAATAATTAATTTTGACCTCTAATATTGGCAAAATATTCAATCCTCTTTGTTTGACACGTCGTTTTCTATAATTGTCAGCACAACCGTTACCGTTAAAATTTAGCAAAGGCATGTCAAGGTCTGTTTTTAGACTGTAAATATAGACAGTGGAGCCATTGTTTGGCCTTTTTTTAAAGAGTTATTACTAAAATCCTGTTCTTTTTTATTTATTACAAGAATTTTTTTTTGTCCAAGGATGTTGAGGACCAAATGAAAAAGCTGTAGAGGCCACTCTGGGTCCTCAGACCTTATGTTTCCCAACAAACCTAGCAGAGTTTTTGAATGTGTCAGTGAACACTTCACGTTCATCTCAGCATCTTCATTCTAATAAACGACAGAAGAAAAAAAGAAAAGCAGTAAAACGTGCACGTGCGACGGGCCTTTCTTTTTGTCGTTTCCTTCCTGCAGGCAGCTCCTGCTCTGCTCAGCATTCAGAGGGATGATGAATACTTTTCAATCTCTCGGCTCTGGCTCGGACTTCAGGGACCAGAACTACGAGCCAGAACATCGCTCTTATAGCTCATCCAGAGAAATCCATCACATACAAGCTGTTCTCCAACACGTGCACGCTTGAGTCACTTTTGCTTCACTTCAGTGAGGACAAGAGGAGTGACTGATTCCACTGCAGTTAAAATGATTTCAACAACACAGGGTGGGGGTGAAACGAGCTGCAGTGTCCTGGTTTGATCCAAAGCCGTCATGAACACGTGTCACGTGATAAATCACATGACTCAAACCTAACGAGCAGAATGTTTACACAGACACTGATCCAGGAGAATGCAGATGTGTGTCCAGCTGTTGCAGCAGCGGGTGCAGACCTGCTCTGTGCATTTAATGAAACTCTGAGCCAAGGCTCAGTCTAACTTGGATTATTTGATGAGCAGGACCTGTGCACGTGACCCTGCTGATGGAAGGGTGCAGCGTCTCGCTGAAACCTGAAGCAGCTCAGAGTCGTCACCTTACCTGTATCTCTTGTTGTCCACGGGCACAATATCCATGGCGATGTAATACTGCTGATGGGGGTCCAGGCCAGCAATTTTGACTCTCATAGCAGGAAACATCCTCCTGACGGAGACAACAAGAAAACATGTGATGCAGTGATGGTCCGCATGGATCCATCAGCTGTGAGGAACCGTTCCCACAGCTGAAGCAGCGCGGCTCTGCCGGACAGACACCGAGAGCAGATTAGAGCCCAACACGCGTTCACACGGGATTAAATCCAGCTTTACATCCATGTGGGAGAATTATTAAAAAGAAGAGCATCAGGAAACGTCACATGGACTTTTTTCTATTTGTGATCAAAGCGTGTTTTATTTTTGACACGTTTCAGTTGAGTCTTCGTCCGGAGCTCGTTTCACCACATGCGGCCACAGTCAGCAAATAAACTGAAGCTCATGCTTTCTACGCACACGCTGCACATCAACAACCTTACTCATTTACTGCTCACTTCCAATGCTTTTATGGATCATGTTGGTGAATTTCAAATATGGAATGTTGATTTAAAAACTGAATAATAATTCAATTTTTCTAACATAAAAAATGGTGAAAAATACTCTGAAAACACAAAAGAAGGAACTCATTGATGGACAGAAAAATGAATTACTTTTCAGAATTGTTTTAGCTCTGAAGAGGAAACAATGGGATTAATCCTGAACACAAATCATAAATAAAGAGGTTTGAAACAACTGGAGCTTTTTATGATCAAGAAAATATGTTAAATCATAAATGAAACAAAGAACAATACTGTCAACAAATAAATAAAATACAAAGAATGAAGCTGGTGGGTTGAAAAGATTTGCTGCTTTGGGCCCATTTTTTAAATGATGCTGTTTGTTGAGAATAATTGATCTTTTGGGACTGATAATCTGGATTAGCTCCCAGTCGTTACCAACACAAGAAGGAAATAAGGAACATTTTATTTAACTAAACTGAGTTTGACACAGTGATAAAAATGTATTTTGCATTTTAAGAAGAAAAGCGTTCGTTCTTATATTTAAATTAAAAACATGTAGAATGATATTTGTCAAACAGGAAACAAAATCAATTTACATTTTAAAAGTTTAAGCTTGCAGCATTGCATGTTTTAAAAATATTTAATTCAAATGAAAATATCTTTATACATGGTGAAGTATTTTTATTTCTTCCTAATCATGAATAAAATCCATAAAATGAACTCTTTGAAAACAGTAATCTGGTGACAGACACGACTCTTTTTATATTTTCTGGTCTTTTTTACAAACTGACAATAAATGAGACCTTTGTTAAAAATAGTCAAGCTGACCTCTGACCTTTAGCTTTTTGAATATTTTCATCCCAGTCCATCTCATCAAATCAAATAAAAAAGTGATGTGTAAAAAAAAAGCACACGTGCTTATACAATTGTTGTTGTTGTTGTTGTTGTTGTTGTTGTTTCATCTTTTAAAGGCTGAAAGTGACAGAAGCTTCTGGAAGTCTCGTCCTGGTTTTAAAAGAATGTGTGCAGAAATGAACACATTTCATCTTAAATTCTCTTTTTCAACATTTTTCATTTAAAATCCGGTCCAGCCTAATGAGAGCACGGGCCTGCCCCTCTCCCCGCCCCCCCCCGTGGATTTATGGTGTTATTATGAACAGTCCACGCTCTGCGCAAACTCACTGTGCCCCTTTATGACCAGATTTAATCCTAATTTCCAGCAGCAGCTGAAGGCAGAGTCTGTGCGGTCAGGATTAAAAACAGATGTGTTCGTGACAAACAGACAAACTGTTTGTATTTTAAAAATTTACTAAATTACGTCACTGCGCACTGATACCCCAACCAACAACTCTTCATTTAACTTTTTTAAATTTAAAATACTTAATGGATACGAAATAAAAGTCGAAAAAAAATAGTTTTATGAATTTAATTCATATTATTTAATTAATTCATATAATTTAATAGGTTCATATTATTTAATTCATATTATTGAATTGATTCACATTATTTATTTGATTCATAGTATTAATTCATATATTTAATTGATTCATGCGATTTAATTGATTCATATGATTCAATTAATTCATATAAATTAATTGATTAATATGATTTAATTGATTCATATTATTTAATTAATTCATATGATTTAATTGACTCATAGTATTAAATAATTAATATTATTTAGTTGATTCATATTATTTAATTCATACAATTTAATAGATTCATATATTTAATTGATTCATGTGATTTAATTGATTCATATGATTCAATTAATTCATATAAATTAATTGATTCATATGATTTAATTGATTCATATTATTTAATTAATTCATGTGATGTAATTGATTTGCTGATCGGGGCCTCCCGGCGCTGCGGGAGCAGAGCGGGTCTTCGTGTCAGACCCGGAACTTGTTACGCGGTTCAGTAGAAAGCAGCTCCCGCTGAGAGAAGCGGCGCGCATGCATGTGCAACACTCTCCAAACAGCCGCTGCGCGCGCACGATTGTATTTTTCAGTCAGGGTCTCTGCACTCACCTGCCCGCCTTGGTGATGATCATCTCCGTGCCGATGTCGTGGAAGCGCTTCCACAGGTCCGCGCACTGCAGCTCCACCTGGATCTCCTCCATGGAGGCGGGGGGAGACGCGTCACAGGGGCCCGGGGCCAGGTCTGCGGGGGAGCCGAAGGAGCACGACGTGCGCTCGGCCAGACCCTCTCCGTCCGAGCCGGGACTCGTCTCAGAGTCTAAAGAAAGGAGGAGGATGCGTGAGAAGAAACAAAATCAATGTGCACGCGCAGCTGAGTCCAACTCTGGTGTGAACACAAATCACGTTTCTGTTTGAATGTGCAGCTCGTGAACTTTCTCGTCACGTGACGCTTGAGGAACAATCTAATCTGGTCCTCTGGACAGTCAAAAAAACAAAAACAAACAAACAAATAAACAAAAGTAGAAACGTTTCGTCTCTCATCCAAGAGACTTCTTCAGTCTGAGGTGCTGTATTCAGCTCAGTCTCTTAAATAGCACCTTCTCAGAGTGGATCAACCAGTTTGCTGCTGACAACCAAAACCAGCTGCTCACATGCTCAAGAAGGACCATCAGCCTAACAATGGATCATTAGCACCTGATGGCTGTTTACTGTTCACAGAGGGCTGAGTGATACTAGCAATCACAGCATTGTAAGAGGGGGACAGTTGAACCTGGAGGCTCCACCCCTGTTTAATGATGGACAGTTGAACCCGGAGGCTCCGCCCCTGTT